CAATAGGTCTTTCAAATATGTCCATTATTAAAGCTGAGCAGTAGCGAAGCCAGCAGGAACACCCCCCCCCCTCCCCACCACCACCACCACCTGAAGTATGAACAATAGATAAAAATATGTGTTGTGTTGTCACTAACTAGCTTAACGAGCTACTCGTGAAACTCATTAACTCGTTCGTTAAGCTCATTAAGCTTAACGAGCTGAAATCGATGATTGGCTTTGTTTATTAAGAAGCGAGCCACGAGCTTAACGAGCCGAGCTATCGAGCGCTCGTTAAGCTCGCAAGCTACGAGCTTTTGTTCCAGCCCTACGCCTCTTTGTACCATGATATCTATTCTTTCTTAATTTATGACAATGCGGGTGTCCTTCATGATTCAAAACAAAAAATCTTAATTTCCCAAACTTTACAGGTTTATTTACGCTTAAAACAACACCAGCTGCTCAACACATTGCGCCTTCGCCGAATAACATTTTTGGCCGTGGCTGCACGCACGATTCCGCTCGCTAATTGCATACACAGAAGTGGCCGAAATCACTATTCTGACCTTTTTAGCAATCTTTGCCACAAAGTGAACTCGACATGAAAGTATTTTACGATCTGACCCTTTTAGCAACGCCACAGACCGTGGCGTTTCTTCTCCATATAAAAACGCCGAGCTAGCTAGCGTTTCAAATCCACATTCAAACTCCGGAGTAGCTAGCGTTTCCAATCCACATAGAAACGTCAAGCAAGTGGGCGTTGCTGCCTTGGCCAGAAACGCCATAGGGCTTGGCGTTTAGGCCCTAGGTTTAGGAGCAGCTTTGTACTTTGGCAACGGGAAAGCTAATGGGCTGGGTGCCAGCACAGAAACGCCAAAGCCCTTGGCGTTGCTTACCTGGTCCGCAACGCGAGCAACCTGGGCGTTTCTTCTTTGGGCAGGAACACTAGCGCTCGGCGTTTCTCCTTTGGGCAGGAACGCTAGCTAGCTCGGCGTTTTTATTTGGGGAAGAAATGCCGCGGGTTCTGGCGTTGCTAAAAGAGTCAGATCGTGAAATACTTTCATGTCAAGTTCACTTTGTGACAAAATTTGTTGATATGGTCAAAATAGTGATTTCGGCCCACAGAAGTGGACATGATACCACGCGTGATTCCCATCTACTCCTACACCACTACCACCGCGTCAGTATAAAATTTACCCAAATGGTACGGACGCAACGTTAAAGCGCTGCACGGAAAGTCGATGAAGGAGGAACGCTCACCCCCACCTCTGTCGGCTCACCCCGACCATCGGATCAGATCCGATCCAGATCAGAAACCACCAACGCAAGCAACCCCCGGCCCCGGGCGCTCTCCGCCCTTTTCTTCGCGGCCGGGGCCCGCCGCCCGCCCGCGCGCGTCACCCCCGCACCAACTCCCCACCGCGCCGGCGCCCCACTCCCACCCCCCGCCCCTTTCCCAATCCCCTTTTCCTCGTCGACAAGCCTCGCCTAAAGCCTCCGGCAGCAGCTGAACCTTATCGGCGCCGCGAACCTTATACCGGCCGGACCGGGACCTGATTCGGCAGCAGCAGGCGGCGGCAGTACCACTCCACCCGCACGCGCGCGCATGGCCGATCGGGGCGGGAGGTGTTAACTGGGCGGCACGGAGATGAGGGAGCTGGCGGGAAGGCCCGGGACGTGGGGCGGGCTCTGGCTGCGGCTCGGCCAGGCCGCGCTCGCCGCCGCCTCCATCGCCGTCATGGCCTCCGCCAACGGCTTCGCCGGCTACACCGCCTTCTGGTAACCTTCCTGCCTTGTTTGGGAGGTTTTTCCCTGGGCGGAGTACCGTCTACTAGTCTGTTAATCTGTGAGCGATGGATAGTTTAATCACGAGGGGCTTTGTTAATCCGTGAGTAGTCAACCAGAGTATTGAGATATTTGGTTAGAGAATCTAAGAAGATAGTATGAAGTTAACCATCACTGTCCTGTGAGACATGTGCTTGAGGAAACATGTAGGTTTGGACTTGTAATGAGTGGCGATTTTAGTACAACTGTGCTCTTGCACGGGTGAGTACTGTCCAAAACTAATGGCTGAGAGCCCCTCAAGGCTAAATTGGGCCTTCTGTAGGCCATGTGGTGTGGGTGCATGGTGCTGGCAATTCCTAGATTCAGCTACAAATTTAGTGCAACCGTGGCTTGTTTCCAGACTTGTATTAACACATCATCCACCTTTTAGAATTTCTACTGCTAAAGGCATTTGAGTTTTGTAATGAGCTCTTTGTCTCTTTCGAGTTTCAGCTATCTGATTGCGTCGATGGGATTGCAAGCGCTGTGGAGCTTGGGACTTGCATGTCTTGATGGATACGCCCTTAAAGTCAAAAGAGATCTCAACAATGCTGTTTTAGTGAGCTTATTTGTCGTCGGAGACTGGGTAATGATAAAAGTCCTTCTGAAACTCTTGTCATGCAGTGTGCTGTTTTGATTTCTTGCTTTCTCCAGTTTTTTTCTTTCTGAAATGTGCTCTACTTCATTGTTTATCATGAACTAGCATTCGATATATGATAAGCATGCTCTTTGAGAAGCTCTAAAGCATAGCATATGAGAAAAATGAATTCAGATGATCATTCAAGGCTTATTTTGCGAGCTGAGATGCTACAGAAATGTGGGGTTCTATACCTAATATAGTTTTGCTAAGTTATAGTCCTGTTCTAGTAAAATTATTCCCTCCCTCTGTCCCGCTCAAGATACATGCATGCACGGCTGCAAGCACACATATTACATGTATGACGTTTAAGCTAGTACAGCAGATGGGTGCCCTTGTGAGTTATTTCTTGTTTAGTGGAGTTTATTGTTGCACACTAAATTTATGGTGTCGTACTTTCTGTTGTGTTTCAATTTCTGTGCTTATTCTTTGAAATTATTCATGGTATCTGTATTCTTCTTTCCATATAATGCATGTGGCGTTAGCTGAATGGTTATACTAATTTGACATAAAAAAATCTTATATGTGCATGTCATGCAGTCTTAATCGACTGAGTAATTGTATGAGTATGCCCTTCATTTGGACAGCTTTGTGTTCCCTTGTTCAGTGTCTCCAGCAACACTAATGAAACCCAACTATGCAATGCAGGTTACTGCGATTCTCTCGTTTGCTGCATCGTGCTCAGCTGCTGGTGTAATAGTTCTTTTTGAGAAGGACATTTCTTTCTGCAGAAGATATTACGAACTGCCTTGTGGAAGATATCAACTCGCGACGGCATTTGCTTTTCTGTCCTGGGCGCTAAGTGCTACATCAGCGGTCATCATGTTTTGGCTCCTGGCATCCTTCTGATTTTGTGTATAGCCCTCTTGTGTAAGTTCTGTTTATAGTGAGGTTTCCGCTCATCATAGGAATTATATAGGATGATTTTTCAGATATGTAAGCAACAGAAACCACACTGCCAAAACAGATGGAAATGTTGGGACACCTGTAAACTCCATGGAGCTAGCATTTCCTAGGTATTATTACTCACTGGAAGCTTTCAATGATGCTAAATCGGTTTCTCAATAGTTTCTCCGGGTACCCTTCATATTCACTCTCTAAGATGATAGTACCATAGTCTTAGCGTTGCAGCTGTACCACTTATCTGACGAGTTACTTCCTTTGTAGTTTTGGGATGATGCGATGTAATATTGCTGACGAATTAGAAAGTTGTAGCCGAGTCGGGGATGTGTGTCGCTGAATGAACATAAAGAATCTTTCAGCCATGCTGAAACCCTATCAGCTCTGTTGTAAAGAATCAAAGTATAAGGGGGTTGGTCTGGACAGAGGTGTCATTTCAGTAGTCCGACTGCTCTGATTTTGTTGTATAACTGTACCTGAAACACCGTTAAAGAAGTCAGGCAATTTCAGATTACAACTGTGTACGAATTTCATCAACGCCATGCTGACTATACTCTGCACCTCTAGATCATCTGAATGGAATATCTGCACGAGAAGTTCCGATTCTGGTCCATTCAGCCTACAAAAGGCTTTAATTGCCTGGTGCAAAAGAGAGGTCAAGGATGAGAGGGTTTCTTGTGTGGGCTTGGCTCTCGATATGAAACCAATTTTTTTTTCTGTTTTTGCGGGGATATCGAACTGAATTTAACAAAGATGCATTCAGGCGGACAGTGTCCGTGAGTCCGCGTGGGCGGAAGATGAACTGATCGTAGTTGATGTAGTATTCGTGCATGCTTTAGTTATGCTTCTCGCGCATACTCCTTTCCTGATTAGAGACAAGAGTAGCACATAACGTCCATGTTTCTTGCGATGCGATTCGATATTACTCCCTCCGTTCCAAAATAGATGAACCAACTTTGTACTCAAAATAGATGAACCAACTTTGTACTAGAGTTAGTACAAAGTTGGTTCATCTATTTTGGAACGGAGGAATACATCTTTTCAACCAAAGTTATTCTTGTTCTTCTGAGTTTCATCAAGAGAAAAAAAAATGGTTGTTCTTGCTCTGGGTATGAAACCAGAAGGTTGTTTTTATCCTGATTTCGAACTGCAAACGAGATTTCTTTTTCTTCTTCTTTGAAAAGGAAGACTTAACTGAAGAACACGGATGCAATTAGCAATCTTGATACTTGACACTCGCTTCTTTTGCAGTCTTGCAGCAAGCAGTCATGTGTGCGTGTACATAACCTTTTTGTACATGGTGAAGCTTTTATTGCCATATTACACTCCATGAATGGACCCTGACACTATACATCTTCTTCACAGGCCTCCTTCGGAGGTCCTGCGCTTGTGCATCCCATATTTACATTTGACACCCACCAACTCACGGACCGATCATTTTACAAGCTGAATTGAAATAGTACAAATATATGCATGTATAGCACACATAAACTGCAGGTCTGCAGCTCGTATTAGCTTAGCTAGGCCAATACGTGCAGCTGCTCAGCAATCGACATCGTATCTGCATGTACTGGACGACGTACCTAGGCAAGTCTTCACCTGCTTTGCTTTGTTTTCTTATTATCCCTTGGATGACTTTCTGCGCTTCAATCACAGTCAGTCACCACGATCCATGCTCCATGGTGCGCCGACGGTGCGGCGGAGACCGCCGCGCCGCTCCGGCCGCACCGGAGTCGGCCGAGAAGAGCTGGTGGCGGCCGGAGTCCCCGGCGAGACGGAAGTAGGCCGAGGCCGCCGTGGGCGACGAGGACGGCTGCTCGTCGAAGAGGAGGTCGGCGAGGGAGACCTGCCCCTCCTTCCTGTACTGCGCCACGGCCCTGTAGATGAACGGGATGAGGCCCTCCATGAGACCTTTTGCTTTCGCTCGAGAGAGCCGAAGAAGATGGTGGAGAGAAGTAGTGGTTATTGGGACAACACTTGAGGGAGAGGTTTGACACGCTTTGTTGGGGTGATGGCGAGGCAGGAGGACATGGGCTTAAAAAGGGAGCCAAAACAGAACATTCCTCTGAGTGGATAGAGATTAGAGACCAAATGGGACACTAACCCGGGAAGGATAATTGTTCCCTGACAGCTTCACCTTAGCTCTGAAATCAATCAATCGAAATGTGTCGTGCCAGACACTCACCATGAGAATTTCCCCCGGTAACTAACAGAATTCCCGGTTAATTAATTAATCATTGGGGCTATGGAACCCCAGCAGGGGTAGGGGAGGAGGCTTGAACGCAAGGGATGGTCAGTCTTACAAGGCGAGTTTTCCAAGTGGAGTACGTAGTGGACAACGACGTAGTTCCTCAGTTGCAGTAATTTCTCGGTTGAAAAACCTTTGATTGAAGCCTACAGCTTACCTGCCGCAAAAGATAAGCAAGACAAACCTCCGCCGGACCATGATTGGTCGAGTTCTTTTTATCCAACCCCAGGCCTGCCGGTGCCGTAAGCCTTCGGAAAATCGCTGCCATGGCAGGAAAGTTCAGCGTGATCTCACCCCGGCCGACTATGCTGCCAGGGCGGGGCGGGACAAGAAGATCGATCCACCTGGCTGCTGACTTCTTCCCCGATACACTTGTCGAGCCGTTGCGTGGCGATCGTGGTTAAACAATGGGGGAGATGGCGGCCCGTGCGGCTGACGTGGAGGCATGATTGGCATGGTTGACCTCGCCGGCTTAAACTAGTGCGGTGTTGGGGTTTGTTTATGGCGCTGGAGATGCTGATCGGGCAACAGTTCATACCAGATCGTTGTTTTTTCCTCTTCTTTTTGCAAGAAGAAGAGAATGAGCGGAGGTTCGTACCAGATCGTATCATCTGCTGGTATTTGTTTTGGGCCGGCGGTCGGATTTATGTGTACTTTGCTTGGATAGCTGGATCTCTAGTTGGCTAGGGTTATTGTATTGGCACTGATGGGGATGTGCGAACTAACCGCGGGTAAAGCTGGGTCAAGAAGAGCAGAGTTGCGCGGAAACCGCACAAGCTTGCGCTTGCTTCTTCACCTCAATATCTGGTTCATTTTCTGCAGCGGTGAAATGCGTCTCTCAAACTTTCTTTGGTTTCTATCTTCAAAAAATTTATAACATTTTCCAATGAAAGTACTTTTTATTTTATTTTTCAACCCTATATGATTGCAAATTTCAGCGGCCACTCGGTCTGGACTCTGGACATATCGCATCCCCCTCTGGCCCAAGAAGCCCAAGGCCCAGATGGTTTTCAACCCGTAGGATTGCAGCTGGAAAAGACGTCGGGCAACACGTCTGATCGATCTCGCTAGACTCTTTTTAGTCTCATACTGCTCATCAACAGAGCGAGACATGTCAGGGGAGGCTATATATGAAGCACCTGGTGCTACCGAGAAAAGCACTTACCTGGACGGGGTCAATGGGTGATCAAGAAGGCCCATGGCCTGGATTAGTGGCCTCCATTGCACTTGGGAGGAGCACTGGTCCACCATCTCCTCTAGTAGGAGAATGGACGTCATAATTTATGATAGAGGGGGTACGCGTCCGCGCGGCCCCTATCAAACTCAATCCAAAATATTTGAAACATATGTTCCAAAAAATAGTTTTTTGGTTCATGTTTGTTGTTCTGTAAATTTATTCAGAACAGACTAGAGGAGATAGTAGCCGAGCAGTTCTGTACTTCAAATTCTGGCGAATAAATCCATATTGTGCGTATCATTTCTCACACAGAGTTTTCCTCTGAATATTCGCTAACCAGTTTAGAACGTTCCGGGCTGATCGAATCGAACGCCCTGGAAAGGGGTGACGGGATTCGACGTCTCAAGTCTGGTACGGGGATGATCGGGGCTCTGCTTTTCGGTGCACTCTGGGAGTTTCTAGCCGACGGCTTCCAGCGCCTATAAAAGACGCTGGCTGGCGCTCATCTTATCCGCTGCTAACAAGATATCATTCGCCCTTCTGTCGCGTATTGTGCTAGCATGGCGCCGACGTACTCGCCGGAGCCGGAGCCGCCGTTCCGGCCGAGGGAAAAGATAGTGGAGAAGCAGAGGTACTTCCAGAGCGTGCACAGGCCGACCTACCTCAAGGGGCGCTATGACGTGATCACCTCCGTCGCCATCCCTCTCGCCCTGGCCGCCTCCAGCATGTTCCTCGTCGTAAGTTGAATGAGCATCCATGTCAGTACTTTTCTTGTGTTTTACGTTGGGCATTGCACTGACGTTGGTGTCATGGTGTGTTGTGCGTGCACGCGCAGGGGCGCGGGATCTACAACATGTCGCACGGCATCGGGAGGAAGGAGTGACCATTGAAGCCCTCTCTTCTGTGACACAGACGAGCCCTTGTACAGCCGTGTGTGTACGTGCCTTTGTGAAGTGAAAGCAATGTAGTGTGCAGTACTAGAAGTGTTGGATTCAGATGGGAGTTGTCGCCTATTTTGAACGAGCAAGCCAACAATCGAGTGGTTTTCCAGTCAAGATAACAAAAGAGCAGCATGAGCGATGTACTGGATTTGCATGGGCGCCAAAGATCAGAAACACATGCAGCGCGTAGGCAATCCATGGAGAACCTATATTACATTATTGTTGTGTTCGCAGATTATTGTACAGTACCTTTCCTCAGACTGTCATGGAAGCTATATGACCCCGCCGATGCGGGTATCAACCACTGTAGGCTTTGAAGCTTCTGAAAACTCCAACGCTTGGGCTAATGTTAACCTATGATTCTTCCAGGCATCCTCTGCCCACTCCTTCATTCGCTCACCTTCTGCCTTCCTATTCGACTGGATAAGCAACAGTTCGGCATACTCGCCTGCAAATTGGACAGGCAGCAACAAATTCAATATTAACCAAACGCAAGAACATGAGCACGGGGCACTGTAAGAGCCTCGATAATGCTGACTACTTTCACTGTTTACGGTAACTAGGATCTGTCAGAACTCCAGGCTTACACTAACACTAACCAACGGTTACTGGTCCTCTGCGATTCTAGGAAAGTTTTCATGGGAAAGATTAGAAAATATGTTTTACCATGCTCCAGTTACTGAAACAAGGGTTTACACACACAGACAGGCCAGTAGGCAGGTTTGGATTCACATTGTTAGGTTACATTTACAAGATCCACAAAAAAAGGGGGGTTACATTACAAGATTTAGCACAAGTCAACCCATATCGTCTCATTCAAACAGGAGGCAAGGAAACAAGCAAAAAAATAATTCAAAAAACTGTAAACCAGAAGCTAGAATGACCCGATAGAGGAAAAACTTAAACTGATTATGATATCAATTGGCAATCAATTGACATATATGATGTTGCATGAAGTAACTTGCTTTTCTAATGATACACTAGAAGTGCCTTTTGGTATAACGTTTCAGAGAAGATTAGGTAATAAAGATTCAAAGTATAACCACTAGCAAGTGAAATGATATCTCTCCAATCGACCTGCCTTCTTGTGTCTGCAAAATATTAATACAAAACTTAATACTGCCAAGGGATTAACAAGAAACAACGCATATGATTACAAATTTCAGCGGCCACTCTGGACTCTGGACAAATCGCATCCCCTCTGGCCCAAGAAGCCCAAGGCCCAGACGATTTTGAGCCCGTAGGATTGCAGCTGGAAAAGACGTTGGGCAACACGCCTGATCGCTAGACTTTTTTTAGTCCCATACTGCTCATCAACAGAGCGAGACATATCAGGGGAGACTATATATGAAGCACCTGGTGCTACCGAGAAAAGCACTTACCTGGACGGGGTCAATGCGTGATCAAGAAGACCCATTGCCTGGATTAGTGGCCTCCATTGCACTTGGGAGGAGCACTGGTGCACCATCCCCTCTAGTAGGAGAATGGACGTCATAATTTGTGATAGAAGAGGTACGCGTTCGCGCGGCCCCTGCCAATCTCAATTTAAAAACTTTCAAACATATGTTCGAATTTGCTTCATGTTTGAGAGTGTTTGATGTTATCGGTGAAGAGAACCTGTTCTTTATCTATAATTTTATTCAGAACAGGGCTAAAGGAGTCTTATGCTGAAGACGATATTTGTTTACCACTTTAGAACGTTCCGGGCGAACCGAATCGAACGGCCTGGAAAGTCGTGACGGGAGTCAAAGTCGTGCGGAATGATCGGGAGCTCTGTTTCTGGGTGCAGTCTGGGAGTTTCCAGCTGACGCCTGACGGCTTTCAGCGCCAATAAAGGACGCTGACGCTCGGCGTATCCGCTGCTAACGGCAGCTGCTTGCAAGAGAGCATTCGCCCTCGTTCGTACTCTTCCGCCTCGAGTAGAACTTCTGTCGCGTATTCTGCTAGCATGGCGCCGTCGTACTCGCCGGAGCCAGAGCCGCCGTTCCGGCCGAGGGAAAAGATAGTGGAGAAGCAGAGGTACTTCCAGAGCGTGCACAGGCCGACGTACCTCAAGGGGCGCTACGACATGGTCACCTCCGTCGCCATCCCTCTCGCCCTGGCCGCCTCCAGCATGTTCCTCGTTGTAAGGCCAACTCCACCGCGTGACCCATCCGGACGTCTGATTTTGTCCGTATGGGTAGCGAAAAAGCGGACGTCCGGCCCCCGGACAGTGCTCAAACGCATCCGCGCCCAGCGCGTCCAGGACCAAAACCTGTCCGTCCCGCCCAGCTTCGTCGCCGCCTCCTGCAGGACCAGCCCGCGCCCCGGCGCCGCACGCACCCCGCCCTGCC